GTTTTAACTTGTATATTTTTTATAAGATTTTATAGTTTCTTACTTGTAATGCTGCCTAGAGTCACTTGTACAATGAGATGGGCGGCATATATAAATTTGAAAAATAAATAAAATAAATAAATAAATAAATAAATAAATAAATCAGTTTTACTGTTCTTATGAAGACAGACAAGTTGGGTAGCATGGCTTAGAAAGTCCTCTGCCTGTACGTTAGAGAGCTGCTGAAAATACTGCCATTTTCTAATATTGGGTTGTATGAAGGTATGTTATAGTTTACGTAAATAAGCCAGAAGTATTTTTGCAAAAAGCAGTAAGTTTTATATTGTATTTACACAGATTAAGGAAGCAGAGGCTAGGGCTGCCATTGAAGAGGAAAAACGAAGACAACAGGTAAACACTCCAACTTTATTTCCATTGCATAGGAGAAACTTTTAATATGCTCTTGCTCTGAACTAGACATTTCAGATTAATGTAAACTTGTGAAATTCTAAACAAGCCAACTTCAGTCCATGGGTTTATTGTATTTAAACAATCAGTGGTACACCCTTACTCAGTTGCCAATCTAGTTTGTTTCATGTTTTGTATGAGCTGTTTCCACCTGGGACCTCTATTTTGTTGCCTTCCTGATAAGGTAGTCTCTGATGCCAAGGTTTGTCTTTACATGCTTATTTGGGAATAATTAGTCAGAGATCCTGCTGAGAGATAATACTGAACAAAATACACATCAGGCTCCCTAATTTGTTTAGCTGCTCTTGCTGGCAGGAACAGACGAATGGAATGATTGAATATTAGTTACTCATGCCCACTGAACAATCACGATAAGCCAGAATTTGGAAGAATTTTGGCTTATATGGGCAGTTGGACCAATGTGTTCAAATATGGTTTGATAATCAGCTCTCAAAACTGCTATATAACAAATGTGGTTACTTTTGGCAGTTTCCATTCTTCCAAATGTTCCTTTCTTTATGCATGACAAAGAGGATCTTCATCTGTCATAAGAGCATTATTTATAATTGTGCCAAATATCACTTGTACTGCATATGTGATCGTGGAAAAAGAGCAATGCCCATGTGTTGTGTTGGCCAAATATTATTGCATAGTTATGTCTTTAAAACTGTAGTGCCTTACATCTAGAAATATCCTTTCCTCTAACATCTTCACTCTTGTTTGATTAAAATCTTCATGTATAGGTTTTGAGAATGCAATTTTCAGGAATTCTTGTTCTCAAGTTTTCATTTATTTAATGAAAGTATGAAATGTATATCAACCATAACACTATGATATACTATATCACAGCTTCTGTTTTTTTCCTTGCCCTTCAAGCTGCTCATTGCAGCAATATTAAACATCCAATGCACATCCCATGTAAATACACCATATACTTTATATACACCATATGAAGATGGCTCTTCAAGTATAGGCTGGTGCCAAGGTTATAACATCCTTCTTAATAAGGGGCTACTGCCTCTAGAATTGAAGCTCCTCCCTGAAAATGACTGTGCTCTGAAGAAATATTTATGAGTTCATTACATGTATCTTCTCACATTAATATCCATGAGCACACAACCGTATTTTTTTTTTAATACGAAGGCTGTAATTACTGGAATTTGCAAATATCTGTTGCTCATTCCAAGACTATGAAGAACCTGAATACTCAAGACATTTTGTTTCACTGCCAGTGAATTTCCAGCTGCAGTATATGGGTAGGGACAAAGTGTGTGTGTTCTGTCATACGCCATGTCATAGAGGAGCTCTTCCCAGTCTAATGTTCTCGAGAAGGGTTGGACTAGCCGCCTCCCCCCGCTTCCTTAATGAGCATCACCAGAGCCAGGTCTTAGCATTACTCCATTTACATAAAGTCAATGTATCATACAATATGCAATTTTGAGAAACAAGTGGGAAAAAATTGGTAAGTTTCATTGTTAAAAATTGTTTTAACATTTATTTTCATCTTTTCTTTCCTCATCTCCAGGCAGAATTGGAGGCTTTTGAGAATAGATTGAAAGGACGTCGGAAAAATAAGAGGAGAAAGGATGATATTGAAGTTGAACAACCTTTATGGCAAAAATATAAGAATGTGATTTTGCTGCCAGTATGTGGCATTGTTGTCTTAATGATTGCCTGGTTCCTAGCATACAATAATTGAAGTCTTAATTACTTCAGTACACTTCAGCACGCTTCTGTGTAAAGAATTGCTAAAATCTTCTGTGTTCTATATTGAAAATTAATGGTTGTGGGTGGTTTTTAGTAATTTCCCTGTTTGTTGGAGAAAAACAAAACCCATCTCAGTTTTTACCTCAAAATCACTTTAAAATATGTTGTGATGATCATGCCGTGCTGTCAGTCCTAAGCAATTATGCCAAGTTCTTTAGAGCGTCTGTGTAAGAGTCATCACGTACTGTTTCTCTGGCATTACTTTATTTCAGGTTATCTGTGAGTGCTGCCTGTGCTTAGTTGTCCTAATGACCTCTTAGTGATTTAAACATTGTATGTTCAAGTTGCTTCAGTACACCTGCATAGTCCTGCAGGCGTTTGGTTTAAAGCACTTGATACGAAATGCAGATAATTCACCCAACGGATTGTGGATCAAGCTGCTGTCTAAATGGAATTTAAGATTTAAATTTTTCATTTAATTAGATTAATATAGCTTCTTAAAAGAAAACCTGAAGCTGCACAGCGATCCTAATTATACTGTGTCAGAAGTTGTTTGTTATTTTTTAAAGTCTACCTTAAACGTTCTGTGCTCTAAGATCCATTTTTGCTGATTAATATAATCAAATAGCAGCTCTTTCCACATTAGACACCTTTCAATGGTGGTTTGCACAATAGTCAATGTAAATGGCTTTTTCTTTACATATAGCTGTCTTCAGCTGAAAGGACTTCCAAATCATAGTATTTAAGGCTAATATCTCTGGCCCTCTGAAAAATAGTTTTCATAAAGAAAATGTACTTTAAATAAATTATTATCTGTATCTGTTTTGTGTATAAAGTAGCACTCATTTTATCAATATGTGCGTGCTCAAACATACAAAGGGCTTATCTGATTCAGGTGTGTTAATATGTAAAAAAAAACCCCTCTTAAAATCGTGCCTTCTAAGTGAACATTAAAAAAATTGTTCAAATGTTCAACTAACCTGA